ATATTATCCAGCCAGTAAAAGCAGTTGGTAGATGGAGATGCAGCCATATCGGCCAGGGTCTGATTCACATACATACTATCATCAGTTATATTAGATGTAGTTTAAGGGAAAGCATTAGCACATCTCTCTGAGCAAAATCCTTTCAAATCAGCAGCACTGGAGAAACACAAAGGAACAAGTTGCCCACATTGTCCCTCATTTCCAGCTCCTTGTCCTTAAGAATCCTTCTCTGGCCTCAGTGGGACATCAAAAAATGCTGCCAACGCAAAGTCAGTGACACTGATTCCCTCCAACAAATGCTCCTGAGTCACGGTCAGAACGCCTCACCTCACCGCCACCACCAAAAACAGTGGGATTATCTTTCTATCCAAACCCCTGGTGGGAAGGAATCTGCTCAGAGGAGACCCGAGAAGAAAGGTCTGGTTCTTTACTTCAGCCCGCACACATTATTGGGAAAAGTAGAAAAGTTGAAAGCCACACAACCCTGAGAAAAGGCTCCACTTTGTATTGTTACGAAGAAAGAGTGAAATGTCAGGTGAGTTCACTGGTCAGATTTCTTTTTGAATTCATGCATTTCTGAGAAAGAAAGACTGTTTGAAGGCAGAAAGCAGCTACTATGTTCAAACAAATGCATTTACAACAATAACAACGCCTCTTTAACAGACTGTGGTGTCGTGTTTGATAAGTGTGAACGCTGGAAATAATTACTCAAGGCTACATATGCTCTTATTTGACACAATAATAAATGTAAATCCTAAAAAATACATAAGATATGCACTGTCCTAACATATCACAGCTTTACTCTGGTGACCACTCTGTTTTGATGCAACTAAATCTAGGTCAATGAACATTCTATTTTTAATATGACCATTTTGTTTAATTTTCCAGACTCCAGCCCAGAAACTGATGCAACCATTCATCACCTCACCCTGCTCTTTCATTCTAACCCTGTATGATCAACAACCAACTCATGCTCCATTTCTCCTCCTCATAAACATCCCACCACAGTATTTAACTTCTCCACATTATGATAAAAGCAACACTGCTGGGATGTTGAGGTTGCAAGCTTCGTATTTACAACACAAAGGCAAGTATTTTTCAGTGTGTCGGTTCTCTTTCCCTCACAGGATTTATTTCTGGATCATGGATGAGCTTTGAAGTACCAACTAAACAGCTAAAGAGCTGTTAAAAAAAAAAAAAAAAAAAAAGACTGCAGGGAAGAAGCTTTGGAGGAAAAACAAATCCCCCAAAGCAATTTGGCACAATGCAAATGCACAGTGAAATCCATGAAATCCCTGTTTCTAAGAAGCACTGCTAAAAAAGAAGATTTTTTATTCTATTTTGTTACAGCAGGGCCAAGTGTCACAGGACTGATATATGGAGGAATCCAGAAACAAACTCTCAGGGGTTTCATCTCCTTAGAAAACTGTCTTTGTGGAACACGTGTATTCGAATATACATGTTTGAAAATAATCTCCCACCGCTCTATCTAAAGGAAAGAGCTTATACATCAATTCAGACTGAACCAGCACTTATTCACCTTTAACAAAAAGAAAATGCTTCAGTCTTTTTTAAATGTTCTAAATGGTGACATCTTCAGATTAGTAGTGAATCCGCAGATGGAATGCTACGTTTTCTAATAATTGGTGATCATGCGTGATTTTTCAAGTGTTAAATGCAACACCTTTCGAAATACACCGCTGATGAAACAAACTGAGATTAAATAATCACACAGTACCCACCTCCACATCGAGTGTGAAGTCCGAGCCATCGAGCAGGGAGACTTTGCACTGCATGATCTTCACCTTCTTCACTCCTCTCAATGGAGACTTGGACAGACGACTGATGGATGACCTGTGGGATTCCTGGTCCTCTTCCTGCTGCTCCTGAGACAAAGGGATCAAGTGCAATATAACATCAATGAGTACATAAGGTTTGTATGGACTCTGTGTCTATTTCACTGGATGACTAAAAGAATTCTGATCAAGGCTTAAATGATTTTTGACTGGACGTGTTCAGACATGAAATTAGAAATATTTTCTGTACACCATTTTCTTACCTAACTGCCTCAGACTGACCTAAACGTATTTTAATGTAGCTGTCTTTGACAAAACCACCAGTGCTGTCACATGTCCAAAACCTAAAAATAACAACGGGGACCCTGAGTGAATGTAATCAGGTCCCACTGAGAGGACCTAGAGGTGTACCGCCATTTTGTCTTTAACAGAGAAAATCCAATTTTCCACTTGGCTGAAAACAAAGCCTTCCTGACTGACTTTATGCTGAAAAAGAAGCATCAAGCCCTTTTTTTCTTCTTGTTCACACACAAAATGGATTTAATGCACTCTTTCATTCCCACATTGCAAATTTCTTATCTTGTTCGTCAGAGGAATTAGAATCATTTTTATAGAGCATGAGAATTGAAGTAACACCATAACTTAGATATGAATAACTTCAACTTTCCAAAGAATCTGTTTTAAGCTGTTATGGGTGATTAATGAGTGACAGAGGCAAGTGTCACTGATGTATGATATTGTAGGGAAACTCTAAACAGAGGCCACTTCATTGATGCATCACAGCAATGACTGACTGTGTTGTATCAGGTTGCTGTGATATCTTTCAGCCGTGTTTCTGCTAATTCACACACCTCCGACAATGGCAGAGCCTCATCCATCACCGTCAGTGTGACATGATGAGGGCTGTGCATTGCTCTCGTTGTGTCAACATCAGAGTGTCGAGTGGACTTTCTCAAATGGAATCAGATGAATTGCAAAAATAGATTTTTTTGGGTAAAAACAACCTTTCTATCAACCTCGCCAGTGGCAGAAAATATGGTCACAACCTTCATCACAGTGAAAGTGCCCTTTAGGATATAAAATGTCAGCACTTCATTATTTTTTATCCAGTTACACATTAGAGTGAAATATTTTCATATTTAAAGTGAGATTCTTTCTTTCCTTCATTCACTTCCTCTTCCCTCTCTGCACTACTGAAATCGTCAACAACCAGAAAACATCATGTCGCTGGCCTGGCCGTCACAGAGTCACAATAATAAGAGAGGACAGCTCAGAGCTAATCCCTTCTCTAATGCAGTCTGAGAACCCACATACTCCAAACATCAGTCGAATGCCTGTACAGCCTTTTTTCATTAGAATAATAAATATTTGTTCTGCTCTTGAAGTTCAACCAATGGATGTAGCAATTTCTTCCTGATTTAAAAATAAACGTATAAATGGGTTTCAAACCTTGTGCAATGAGTAAATATCCTGCAGCTGAACTGGTTGATTTAAAGCTTGTACACGTGTAGCTACTCTAAAGCGAGTACTGCCTTGGGCTATATCAGTAACAAATTTGTGATCGCCAAGGTTGCCCATACTGAAGACAATCTGTATGCATGTACTGTCCTGCGGGCCAAAGTAGGACTAAAGCACTAAAGCAGGGAATGGGCTGTAGTTTCAGAGCACTGAAAATTTGTTTTCCAGATCGATTAGATAGTGAGGCCTGGGGGTTGTTTGGGCCAAATTCAGCAGACAAGCACTTAGTATTCAGATAACATCAGAGGCTACCTGGACTGTCTGCCTGTATAACATGTATAGGCCACAGGCTGTATTTTTTATCCATAGAAGATAGAAGAACTGGGGTTTCCACTGTTCCACAGCAGAATATATAAATACCAACTTAGTCCACGAGCCTGGTGGTTGATCATACATATATATTGTTCATTAAATTCAACAACAAATAATCAGCACACATCACCGCAGATGAGACAGTCTTAAGAGAAAAAGTAATCTAGATAAATTTGAAAATGCTGCGAATGAAGACATCCACAGTTTGTCTGTGGTTTCTCAATCTGTGTTTTCACTGCCATTTCAAACTCAAAGCACAGAGCACTGATGAGGACGAGTCTATTTGTCAACAGATATATTTTGATTCAGAGCTGTAAGCACCACTGAGGCCTTTGAGGCCATGTTGTCAGTATTTTCTTTCCCATGTTCATTTCCAATTTTCACACAAAGACATAATTCATTCAGGAGAAGAATGAATGGTGTGTATTGTTTCTTTTTCTCAAATTCAAACCTACAATATGAGAATATGTAGAGTGTTTACATTCTGAGGATCCGTCCTTAATGGAAACACAGTATTTCTAAGCATCATAAAAAATAGGAGGGCATGTTTAAGAGTAAATTATTGTGGATGAAATTTCATTGAAGTCCAAATGTCCATGACAGCTAGCTGGGTTTTTTGTAGGCCTGTATGTTCAGGAGACGGGGCCTATGTTGTGAATGTGGTTGTGAAGAGGCTGACCTGTTCTTTCCTGGCCGGGGTGCTGTGTCCGACAGCGGCTGGAAGCTGCTCCGGTTGGTTCTGCGGCGAAGAGGGCTCGGCTGCGGCCTGGCTCGGCTGGGATGCTGCTGCTTTAGCTTTCCCCTTCTCCGTCTCCTTGTTCTCCTGTGGCTGCTTGGCCTCTGAGTCTGTGCCTGATTCAGTTGTCATGGTAAATCACGCTGAAGTGGAGGAAAGAGGAGGATAAAAAGGAAAAATGGATGAGTCAGCTGACTTGTTATGAAGTGATCTACTGTTGCTTTTCAGACCAAATGTAATGATACACATGCAGACATATGGACAATGTTTGACAGCAGAATAACAAGCGAAATTAACTGAAGTGGCTTAGGTGCACTCTAGTCTTTTTTCCAATTGTGTTACTGGCTGATAATGAAAAGTGCTTCGACAGTTGGTGCTTTGACGTCAATGAGGGGTTTGATTAAACTGGCAGGAAATTGCTGATTATCAACCGATCAATTAATTGATAAACCACTGCTGAAAATAATTTGAATAGCACATTCTTTCACAGCCCCCCTCCCTGAGCATTAACACACAACCATCCCAAGTATCCCAACAGCACTAGTAAGCGTGCATGACCTTCTGCCTCTGTGAATAGCAGCATACCAGCTCCAACAGATGCTGCCCGAGAAGCAAAAACTGGTTAATGAGAGGAAACATCTAATGGCCAGTTTTGCCAAACAAAGATGAGAGATCCCTCTGGGGGCGCTGAGCTAACCGTACCCACAGGCTTTGGCTTGTTTTGGTTTTTTGGGGGGGAAGGGGGGAGTCTGGCTAGAATCTGGGGTGTGTAGTACGAATGCCTGTCATTCTGCTGTGGGCTTGCTTCTCCCTTAGCACTATTTATAGGGCGTGTTTACGCTTTGGTGGAATGGTTGCGAGGAGGATCAGTGACTTCCAGCCATGGCAGAGGACGGCAGCCTCTGCATCAAGACAACACTGAGGGCTGAGGAGATCCCTGAACACTGATGAACAACTGCAACAAGCACAGTTTAGAGTTGTGGCTCTAAAGAAAATGTAGCAAAACAACAGCTATTGATTATCTGTAAATGCCACAAGTTTTTTCTAGGGGGTCAACATATTGTGGAATCTGTAGAAAACTGTTCGAGTCAGAAAAACAAACTAAATATGATCCACATGCCAAACACCTTTTGTCCCACTGAGAGGAACACTGGCAGGCACATAGCTTGCATATGAACAGCTGGGGTCTGTGCCCCTACCATGCATCTGTATTGTTTCGTGTGGTTAATGGGTATTAAAACGTAGTATTATAATGGATTATTAAGTAGATGAAAATGATGTTAAGTCAAAACTCAGGAAATCTGGACTAAGAAATGGGTTTGAAGTCTTAAGGTTTCTTCTGTGCTTCTTCCCTTGCTTTAAAATAAATCCGGCAGGAGTGTTGGTTTGAAGAATCAAGGGTCACTGAACACAACATGCTGATCTCCCTGAATATAAGTAATTTCCGGTGCCATAAAGAGGCTATAAAGATAACCAAACCGAGACTATGGGCCTGAGTGTCAGCAACGTGAATGATGTGATGCAGTCACAAGATCCAAACTCCAACGCTCGCTTTTAAAAGGACATGAAGATAAAAACCACCGAACTGAATTCTACCGAAATCCTGTCAAATCCTCCCTGTGTTTTTTTTACTGCACTGTTTGGGGCAGAATTGAGAAGAGCTTCAGTAATCAGCTGACTGATTACGGGTGCACAGTAACCTTTGCCTCTCTTAACCCCCCCACGAAACAGGAACTATGGTAGGAGGGGAAGAAAGGAACATCTTAGCACCATAGAAACGGAGGAAGAATACGTTCAGTCACTGGTGACAGGCACTCTTCACATGACCAAACAACAGCCCACACAGTAGCCTTGTGTGTGACCCTCACTATGGACTGGCACATACATTATGCATTCAGAAAGCTGTATTCACAACTCATTTAGTGCCTTGGATTACTCCAAATATACAGGGGCGGTTGATGATTGCACCAATATAGCCTTATCATGCAGAGTATAGGATTCATTGCAAGTCTGTTTAATCTAATCATCCTTGATTGCTTCAATAAATAAACACGCTTTGCCGCTTTATTCCTGAGTAATCTTGCGAAATGAAAATCCAATCCCTGAGGTCATAAAGGCTTTTGCGTCATAAATGATTTGTGTTTGGCACAAAGGAAATGTGAATGATGTTCAACAGCATTTGATCAAATCCAAATCTTTTTGGATCCCTGTGTGAATCTTATAAAAAGGTTTACATATCTGTAACATTTCAGTTTATATCCAAAATAAAACGACAAGCTTCTGCCATTTCTCAAATAATAAAACAATACTAATAAAAATTGAGTGAGCTGTTAGTGTCTAATATTAATTAATCTGAGTGGTTTGTTGAGCAGGAAACGGATCTGGCTTTTGAAACTCATCCATATCAAGTAAAATCACTCCCTCAGAGACAAACTTCCCTCAGAGGAGCATCTTCTTTCCAACATAAATCAAAACCAGTAAGAGAAAAACAATACAGAGACAATGTTCATGTCCATGCCGCATAAACTCAGCACAGGCTAATCAGTATGTCGCTACGATACACAATTTATCAGTGACAATTAATGCTGTGGTGCTGCCCTGCAGATGCAAATCTCCATTTTAAGGTCCATTTATGATTATATTACACAATGTTGGAAAGTCACTCTCACACACACATATACAGAGGAGGATGAGGATCTGCCATCTGTGCTGAGTGACATTAGCTGAAGTACACCACAGCTGGTCCCATCCCTGCCACTCCTGCCCCCACTCCCACAACCCCCCCCCCTCCCTGGGGGCTTATAGAGGTTACATGGAGGGGTATGGTTGGCGTATTTTTTGACACATCCCAGCCCATCCCGAGTGGGCCTGCTGTGAATGATGTGACCCCCTCCACATGGCTGCGGGGCTGACAGCTGTTACACAGTAACCCAGCTACTGTAACAGGATACCATGTAGCTGGCCTGGCCACTCAAACGAGACACCTCTGCTGAGAGGTTACGGATCCCCAAAGTGTTTTTAACTGTCCCTGCTTCAAAGCAACAAACAACATTATTGATGTGTTTTTGTCGTGACATGTCACGTCCTCTCAGAGGTAAACAAAGTCCGTCAGTAGTTATTTTCACCGTGCATATATAGTAAATTCATGGCATTCATTGAATACAGTGAACTGCATTAACTTATTATAGATGCAACATTATATTCAGCTCTGGATGCATAGAGTTCCACCAATGACAACTACTGCATAAAGGTTGTACTGTCACAAAAGCAGAACTTTACAGAAGACATCTTTGCAATTAAATTATTAAATTATCTTCAACAGTTATGAACAACTGTCCCAAGCACAAATCTTATTGTTTTCATGGTTCCCACTTTTCAAATGAGAGAATTCGCTTTTTTTCTTTTGAGGTTTGAAATGAAGAAGAAGCAGAGAGGGGCAGGATCATGCTGTTATCTGCCTTACTGTACATCCATCATGGGGAAGAGATGAATCAGAAACTACAGGTGCTACACAACCAAAACAGTGGAATTTCTCCTAATACTCAGCTGGTACCCAATGATTGTCAGTCCAACTACAGTTGGGTCATGATGAAAATGTGACAGATGCATTAAGACTATGGCAGACTGCCACTAGGTAATCACTAGAAATACAGATGGATTGTAACATCAGTGACTCAGCAAAACATCTCAAGGCTGATGCTTTATGGAATCGCTTTTTTCTCTCAAATAAAATGAAGACTCATTGCATAAACATGGTAAAACTAACACATTTGAATACAATATTCCTAAAAGATATGTTGCATCCATGAATTAGAATATTCCGTTTTTGTGTTAGAGATGTTTATGACAACTGTTGGTTTTGGAGAATGTAGTATATAGGGTGTTGTTGAAGTGCATTTCATTATACTGAGGAGTTTCTATTATTTCTATAATCCCATGCTAAATTACGAGCCCCAAAACATACATCCTTACATAATGATCACACAAAGTGAACATTATAACCTTCATGGGGGTGAGGAGGTGCAGGTGAATTCTCAAAGATCATTTAGTTGATCCCTATCTGACCAAACTTGACAGCTCAACAGCAGACAGTAAACTTGTGTCATGAAGGTGACTTTAAGCAGGGAGCATTTTTTGCTGAGGACGCCATAAATACTTTGAGGTCGCCGGGTTTACATTCTACTGTCTGCAGCAGTAAGGCATTCAGAGATACAGCAGGCACAACTTACTTTCATCTCAACTTGACTGACTCGTCTGCACTTCTTTGTGCAACAACAGTTTGTCATGTTGCTTAGCTGTTGCTTAGGGCCAGCATTGTTTCCTTAAAAGCCTAACACAAACTACACCAACGTGTCTGAGAAGAAAAACAATTCCTGAGTTACATGTTCAAACTCAGTGGACTGTACCGCTCCTTTTACAAAGGGAAAATCTCCTATTAACGTAAGAGATTAGAACTAATTCTTGGTAATAACGTTTTATACAGTTACTGGTCGATGGGGATTAAGCACTTTATGAGATAAGCGATAGGTTATCAGTAAATCAGCTGTAACCTGATATACCGATCATTTCTGGGGGCAAGCATAAACACAGGTCGAAGGAGCAGCACGTCACTTTTTATAATGTTTTCAGTTGAAATATGCTCTAAATCATATATTAATGTGAAGAGGTGGTGTCAACACCCAATCAGAGACTAGCTATTACAATAAGACAGAGAAACATCACGTCAGGGATGGAAGCTCGCAATGGATGATCAATATATGAACGTGCATCTGGTCCACCAAGTATTAGCTGCTGGTAGAGGTCACCATCTCTGGGCGGAGCAGGGAGAAGGAGGGGGTTGAGAGGAGCAGGGTGGTTTGCTTTCGATTGCCATGCTAGCATGAGATTGATTTCCAGAATGAACAAGCATTTTGGGATCTTGGCCTCAGCTAAGATGAGTGTTCTGTATTTGTCGTAAAACACTCTAACCGAAATCCATGAAATAATTTAAAAGACTATCACATATTACCATTTACTTCCATTAGAGAAGTAAATAAAATCATGGCCGCACTTCCTCTATTACCTGACGATTGTCTTGTCAACTAATAAGCTGGCATACATGTCCTACAGCCTGGTGGCGTTGTCATCAAGTTGCTTTTCTTGTCTCATCGGATATTTTCAGTTTACAATATTACAAAAACATGGAAAAGCTGTCCTCTGATATCCTCTGGAGCCGCGTTCTCTCGTGGATCACAGTGGACAATTAGGCTTAAAAACATGGAGTCGTTTTTTGAATGTCGGGGCTTAGCGACACTTGCATGACACCACAGGAGCAGTATGGAGTTACGTTTAAGGAAGTGGTCACCAATTACTTCTACTGTATTGGATTTGGCTGCAATGTTGTTTACTCCTGAAACTCCAGAAGTGTTTGGCGGACTCAAACACTTCACTCACCTCTCCATCTACATAGTGGTGAGTAAATAATGAGTGAACTATCCCTCTAAGTGTTTTTAAGACTCACTTTGATTCTGCATTAATTATTCTGGCTCTGACACGATGTGTCCTTGTTGTTTGCTGTTGCAAGGTGCTGTTCTGCAGCTGCTGCAGCACTCCGGCCCAAGATGAATGTCCCCATGGGCACAATAAAGCATATTTGATTAGAAAGCAAAGCAAAGGCCTCCCTTTTCCCCGGTGATGTGGCTGCGGCTTCCAACGCATCTGCAACCACAGCTCACTGTGCATCCAGACGAAACTGTCCAGTCAGACCTCCGGCCATTGCCAGCGGAGCCCGCGGGGGATGAGAGGATGCTAGGAGCGGATCCGGGCCCCCCCTGGCCACGCCTACCCGCACTGCAGATCACAAACAGCCCAGGACGTCGCATCTGGATCCCGCAAATTTCACCGTTTTCACCCGGTGACATGTCCCCAAACGTCACCGGGTCCACGCAGCCTCCCTCCCGCAATAAAAACATTTGATTCAACGCATCTCTGCCGCGTCGTCCCCCCCCCCCCACACCACACACACACACACACACACGTTATTCATTTGAAATACAACGCTAGCTTTTGACTTTTAGCTTCCGACACGTCGGCTCGTTTTTACTCACAGAAATACAGCTACACAGAAAAAAAAAACCCCAGCGGGATTCAGAGAACCACGGTTCAGCCACGTCCCACCGGACTTTTTTTTCCGCCTGACTGGAAACAGCCGGAGAGGATTCTAACGCCGATGAAGCTGTCACCGTCCTGGTTGTTGTCAAATTAGGCTAAAATGGCTAAACCGAGACATGGACGTGTGGAGATGCCGCGAATGCATCCGGTGCTAAAGCTGTCTGAGGGTGAGACAACCAGAGGGAAGCGGTGAAAACAAAGAGGAGGTTCGTTACCGGGTACAGCCGTCCTTGCTCGGCTGGTTCGGCGAGTTGTTAGCGGGCTCCTGCTTCCTGACAGCGGTGCTACTCTGCTGCAGTTCCCCCCTCTGCTCCTCCAGCAGCCTATCACACTCCACCACTACTGACACCGAAGAATTGTGGGAGATCTGGACAGCGGGGCAGTTACCGACACACACACACACACACACACACAC